TATATAAAACATAAACCCTGAGCATCATCTCTTTCTGTTAATAGTTAAGTGAATAATCTGCACGTTGTGTCTCAGAGGGAGCACATGAAGTTCCCTGCAGCCGGTCAGCTCGAGGCCTCTGTTGATGCTGGTGGGTTTAATGTAAACACGTCATCATCACGCCTGTTTGGTTTTAATGTAACTTCAACCTGTGTAGATCTGAGTCCTCAGCACTAACACAAAGAGAAGAAGTTCATGTCTGAAGAACATGCAGATTTGTCTTTTCAGGCATGAACAGGGGTCATCGTTGTTGTTGTGGGGACATTTAACCGTGAGACGCTGTCAGACATGTTGGTATTCTTTCAGGTCACGCTCCTCTCTATGTTTTCTCTGTACACACTGCATCCAGGACCATTTACCTGCTTTACATCCTGTCTAAGTAGCCAAAGAGTGCTCCTGTTTGGTGTTAACATAGGTGTATGCGGGTGGAGGACAAAGGGCTGAGCAGGAATCCAGTTCACTTCACCGCAGGCTGTCCGAGGACTAATGGCAAAGGAGAAGAACCAGATCGGAGCCTCCTGGGAGGATCTGGCTTTACCGGATGAGTTTCCAGAGTCCTGTGCAGATGGAGACAAAGCTGAGGTGAAGGAGGATGAAGGGGAGGACGCTCATGCTGGAGAAGAAGGCACCAAAGACATGCCGGTGAAACGCAACCCGAAGCTGCTGGAGATGCTGAGGGCAGCAGAGAGCAGGTGGACGCCTCAGAGCCGGGACGGAGAGAAGGCAGAACCATCTGAAACAGGGACAAAAGAGCTCGTCACCGAGGCTTTGAAGACTAACATGGTGAGCAAAGACTCGGCATGTATCAAAGCATTTTATTTAACTCCTGAAATCAGACTCCACCGGAAGCATGAATCTGCATCTGCTCAGGCTGTTAATCATTTCAGACGCACAGGAGCAGGCCTCTGCAAATGTTTCACCACACTCTGCAATCAGTCCTGCAGAAAGGAAAGAACTGCTTTTACAAGTCTGGTCACAAATGTTTGAAGCTGCAGCTCAATAAATAAAGGTTTCTAAAAGCCTTTATGAGACCTGGATGCAGCTTCACACTAAGAATTTGGAAAAAAATACAGACTTGCACAGTTATGAGATCTCTGCATTCTGTTTCTTTACTTTGCTAGAAACAAAATACCCAAAACTTGTGAGGTCAGAGTTTAAAGTGTTTGTGTGTTCAGAACTAAAAGGAAAACAACACGACTCTCCAGGTTTGCTTGGTTAATTTTAAACAACCAATTACACAAAGTACCAGCAGTCACGTTAAACACATAAAATGCACAGAGGAGCTCCATAAACATGTAGTTTGTCCTTTTGTATCATTCCCTGTCGAAGATTTGTGTGTGCGTGTGTGTGTGTGTGTATCTGATTTATGGTATGGGTCAAATGTTGAATTGAAGCAATGTAAAGATATAATCAGTTTAAAAATATATATTTCATGTTATTTTGAGTTGTTATTTGGTGATGGTATTTAGGGATGTGGTGAAGCATGGGGATATAAAGTAAGCTATTTTTGTCCAGTTCTGTTGTAAATAAAATAGCAATGTATACAAAGTAAGACGGTTTAAAAATAAAATACGAATCAGAATTATTTCTGATCAATTGATAAGTGAAAAAGGGAAAACAAGTGTTTACTTCAACCCACTCCTTTTCAAACGGATGACTTTGTAAATAGTCAAAATATGCACTTATTTAAGTGTATATATATTAGGGATGCACAATATTGAATTTTTGGACGATATCCGATACGCCGATATGTTAAAAATTATTTGGCTGATAACCGATACCAATACCAATTTTTTTTTCCTAGACCTATTTACAGAGACTACATAGCTTTCTCTGCTGTGGAATTAAAATACTACATTATTCTGCATGGTCTCTGTCAGTTTGGCCTGCTACCAAATGCAGATGCCAAAAAGGGGCTGAAAATGATGCTTGGATTATGTTTAATATCAAATTTTGTCACTGGGTTGTCATACAAAAACATATATATATATATATATATATATATATATATATATGTGTGTGTGTGTGTGTGTGTGTGTGTGTGTGTGTGTGTGTGTGTATACATGCTGTTATTGTTGTTGTTTTTACATACTTTGATGGCGACACATATTGCTTTATGGGTGGATACATTTTCACAGAGAGGAACTGGACTCAGGAGTCAAAAGAGTGTGTTTAAGACGTGTTTTCAGAAAACATTGCAACATTTGATTTGTTTGAAATTAGTTGGGATAAAAGTGAAGCTTCCCTGAGCGTCCTCCTGGCCTTCACATCTGTGTATTGTCTCTTCCACCTGGGAGCTCGGTCCACTTCACTGAACATAATCCCTTTCATCCGCGGCCTCGTGCGACCTCGCCTGACCTAAATGCTGTCTTTATGTTAAAGGTGCCTCCTTCCTACAGTTCTGAGAAGTGTGTGCAGCGAGCCCACAAAGCCTCCATTATTGCTCCCCCTCTGTCTCCTGTCACCTGTGGGGCGTGGGCGTGGCGTCAAGTCTCTGAGCAGGTTAACAGTGTCAGCTTGCAGCTCGGGTCAGTGTTAAATGAGAGAGCGCTCTGCCAGCATGAAGAAAGTGTACAATCTGGTGACTGTGGCTAAAGCCAAGGAGCAGGAGACGGTGCAGTCCGTCTGCATGAAGGTATCTCAACTTGTTTTACGTTTCATGGCAGGGTTAGACAGGAGAAATGTGCACTCTTCATTCTGAGCTCAGATCAGACTGCGTGGTGTGAACGGTGAATTTCTGAGGAAGACACAGTTTGACACGATGACGTTGATTAAAATGATCAGCTCTGTTTTCAGGCAGGCTATTACTGTGAGTTAACTTTCAAGTCGCAGCTTAGTGTCCCTCTGTGCTAAAGATTAAGCAGCTGTTTGAGTCAGGGCCAGATTTTTTTCTGAGGATTGTACAGAGGTGAGAAGAAATGCCTTTGAGCCTGAGAACACGGCTTTAATTAAACCGCATTCATATAAATATTCAGCTCCAAAGATTCATCAAATACTCAGACAGCTCAGAAAATATAAGGCAGTCAAATAAAATCATGTTTCAGGACCAACTCAAACAAGTTGCAGAACTTTTTCAATGTGAATTTTGGACCTTTATGATAATTCAAGAGTTTTATATATATATAAACAGAATTCAGCAGACTAGTGAGTATAATTTCTCTATAATTTACGAAAAATTAAAAATAGGGTAAAATTCAAATGAATTTAACACTGAGAGATAAACAAAATGGAAAGTAACAGAGAAAAAACAATAAAAAAAAGAAAGACAGGGAAAGTGTGGAAATCTGCAGAGGCAAACTGAGAAGGCGACAAACAAACGTCTCAAACTTCTGTGCATGAATGAACTTTTATAACTACAATAATTTTGCAGGTTTTGGGAATATTGTTTAGTTATTTTGTGTTGCCATGCCAGAGTAATTACTTTAATGTCTGTTATATATATATATATATATATTTTTTTTTTTTTACAAGATTCTCAAAAACATTACTCTCCAAACAAGAGACATTTCAACTATAAGTGAATAACAGCAGTTTTAAGAGGACTCAGATTATGATTGATTAAAGATAAAAATCCAAAGTTTATCAAGACCGTAGAGCAGGATTATTCAACTAAACTGCTCTGGGGGGGCACAGTTACTGAAAACCAGCAGCTCAGGGGCCAGATATCCAGCATTTAAAGTCATTCTGTAAATAAACCAAGTATTACAATGATATGTTTCCTTTAAAATTTGTTTATTTTGCTGCATTGAATCATAAATGCAACAACAGAACCTAAAATTCAAATAAATTACATTTCAAGATTTTTTCCTTGATATTCCAATGTGAAACAATATTAAAACCAAAAATGACACACAATGCCTCCTATTTAACATATATTATTCTGACATCTCTGATTTGCCAGGTTTTTAAGCTTTTCAGAATAAAATAAAAAACGTTGACCGTTTTTCATGTTCCCTGAATGACCGACATGTTGCTGTTCCTGGTAGGTCCATTAAGAACCAGCTCTCATTTACAATGAAATGGCTGCTCAGACCAGTTCTTCCTCCAACGCTTCATAAATCACAGGTGACGCGTCCACGTCGAGCTCTGAGCGCAACCAAAAGAGGTGGAGCAGAACTCAGCCGGGCTGAAAGTGAGCGTGATGCATGTCGAACGTCTTCTCCTTCATGTCATTTACTAAAATGAATTAACTCACATCCAATTTGAGGTTAACTATTTTTAAAGTAACTAGAAATCTACTGTGCATCATCATCAATGTTCCCCCACTGATAAATCTCTTTGTTGTTGTTTAATCCGGCTCGCAGGCGATCACACACTGATACGATCAGTTTACTGTCAGAGAGGACAAACACATAGACTCTTGACTCGTGTCTCAGCTAGTTTAATTCTTATAATTAAACATCACTAGCACCAACATATCTGTAGGCCCCAGATTAAAGAAAAGGTGTATCTCTCTGTTCAACTTTGTTTAATTTTCCCCCAAACTCACAAAGTTCTCTCTCTGTGAGAGTCCCAGAAAGATTGCAAAGCATGCTGGGTAGCTTTGTCAAAATTATATGTGCAACAATTCTGATTGTTTATGATGTTTCTGAGGATGGAAATGGGGTTTTCCTGTTATTTTCCTGTACAGGTTTACTTTGGATGTAAACTGGCACCATGAGTCAAAGGATGTCCCCAGTATGTACAAGTATAAGAGGGAAAGTACTCACTCAAGTATGCTGTATCCCCACTCAAAATCAAAGTCACAGAGTCACACATGGTCTGGTTTATGATAGAGTGTAGATCAGCATGCTCATGAAACCAGGATGGCTTCTCTGACTGAGAAGTTTGCTTTTAGAAGCATTTTAAAGTTCCCCCAACAGTTCTGTTCTGGTTGGTTTGTTTGACTGTTTATTTTTGATCTTATCGGCGCTCAAACACGTGTAAGAACCAACGAGGCAAAGACTTTAAAATAAATTTCCAGAAAAGATAAACACCAGAAAGCTAATGATGAACAACGCAAAGACACAATAAATGTGAAACTGCAAAAGTTTTACAAACAAAAGATAAACAGGAGAGTGCAGACGTTTGATTCAAAAGACCACGTAGGAAAGATAAAAAATGTTTGGGTCCACAGCTTTGTGAACTTCTTACAAACATTAGAGAAAATAAAAACACGTTAAAAGTTTATTTCTAGTAATTCACAGCTTTATTTGATTTGATCTATTCACTCTCAGTTACTTATTATTTAGCCGTAGTTCTTGAAGATGTTGGGGGTGGGGGTCTGTGGCTGCAAATATAAATCTGCTCCTACCAAAGAGCAGAGAGCTGCAGGATGTAGTCTTTAGTGTTCCTGAGCGAGAGGACGTGGACAGGCAGGAGGACATGGACAGGGACTCCTCTGTGGGGGGCGTCCAGCAGAACCAGTGGATGGTGAGTCTGCATCAGACAGAAGTCTGAAGATCAGACAGAGGAGACGCAGATTTACTGAAAACATATGACTCAAAGATCTGTGCTTCAGTCACGCTCATGATTTCATGATTTTTATGTTTGGCTGCTAATTAAATATTTCTGTGTTCCGCTCAGTCAGTGCTATAGATTTTAAACTTTAACAAACATTTACAATTGATTACAAATACTGTGCCCATAGAAATACTATGAGATCATTTCAGTGCCACTTCATTGTTTTGATTTTGTTTTAAAAGCCTTTGATTCAGGAAACTGGCTTTATTTTTGCCTTCTTATGCTACTTTTATACTTTAGCTACCATTCTGCCACTTTTAGCTTTAGCTAGCCTTTTGCTGATTTAAATCTTTAGCCAGCCGTGTGGTACTTTTAGCTACTCTTTTGATACTTTCATTTTTCAACGACCTATTTTGTTACTTTATTTTTTAGCAAACATTTCCTGCAGTAATGTTTTACTTAGTTTTTGCTGCTTTAAGCTAGCTTTTTGCTACTTTTGGATTTTAGCTACAATTCTGCCATTTTTAGTTTTAGCAAACTTTTTGCTGCATTTAAATTCTAACTACTCTTGTGGTACTTTTAGCAAGAATTTGACTACCTTTAGCATCCAGTTGATGTTTTAACTAGTGTTTTTATACTTTATGTAAAATGATCTAGCATTTATTTAGCATTTTGGTAAATGTAGCTTTTAGCTAGCCTTTTTCTATAGTCTTTGACATGTTTTGCTATTTTTAGCTAACGTTCCAGTTTTTACGCTTCCTAGTTTTAGCATTTTGTTTTTACAAATGTAATCAGTTATTCATCACTCAAGAGTTCAGCTGATTCTTAGATTCTAGTGTTTTGTTTCATTTTTTTTGTTTTTCCAGCAAATTCAGCTCAGTGACGAGCAACAAGAATTCAACAAGCGTCCAACCAAAGCTGCCCCTCACTCTCTGTCTCGGTCCATCTCACAGTCGTCTACAGAGAGCTTCTCTTCAGGTACAAAAACACCATCACATGTTTGTCATTTACTCCAAGCTGAGCTCGAGGATTAGCCTTCGGTTAAACCTCAGAACGGTTTCTGAAGCCTGTTTAACTCTGCGCTAATCACATTTCTCAAATATGTTTAAACACACTTCAAAGTCCAAATCACAACTGACTGTGTTACCCCCACCAACATGAACCAAATGATTGTTCTGGTACTTTTGTGTTGCAGCGGCCAGTGAGAGCTCTGAGGAAGGAGTGTCTCCTCTGGACAAGCTGCAGAGCTCCTCCACAGGCCTGTCGGACTTCTGCATTAAGAACATCAAAAAGGCTGATTTTGGGCGAAAAGAAATCGAGATCGCACAACAAGGTGCAACAGACAGGCCTCAGATTATCTTCTGTTTTGTTTGTTCTGTTTACTCAGTTTCCATGATGAAGAGGATCACATTAGAGGAAGATAATGAAATTATATTTCTTGTTTTTTTGTCTGTGATCTTCAGAAATGCCGGCGCTAATGATCCTGAGGAAAAACGCAGGAGGCGAGAAACCTTTGGCTGGAGCCAAAGTAGTGGGCTGCACTCACATCACGGCACAGACAGCGGTCAGTCCAACACAAACACACAGCTGTCTGTAAAATACATAAGGCTTAATTATTAATTTAATGAAAAACGGTTAAAATATTTCATTTCTTTAACTCAAATGTCTTTCCAAACCTTTTAACTGAGACAGAATGGTTTAGGTCAGATATGTGCTAAGGGCTTAATATGCAAAACCAATTAAATTAAAATGTGCATACAATATAATACATTTTATGTTGAGTTTTAATTTATTTTATTAAAGTAATTTAAAATGTATTTACCAGGGGTCTCATGACTGTGCCACATTTGAGCTTGCCTTTAAAATAATGCAGGAAACATGACAAAATTTAAGAATTAATAAAAAAATAATGTGAGCAACAATATTCACTGTAACATATTCAAAATATACAAATCATTCGACCAGAAACTGCAGATTGCTTCAGGACTTTTATCTGTGAGGCCCAAACTTCTATCAGAGGGCAAAAGACTAAAAGTTAGTTTTCAGGAATTAATTTATTCTGACAAAAGAGGAGGAGCCTCCTGTCTCCCTCCTGAAAGGACCCTCCCACCTGTGAGGATCCAGGAGGCATCTTAATCAGATGCTCGAACCACCTCAACTGACTCTTTTGATGCTGAGGCAGCGACTCTACGCCGAGCTCCCCCTGGATGATGGAGCTCCTCACTCTGTCTCTTTGGCTGAGTCTAGCCATCCTGCGAAGGAAGCCCATTTCAGCAGCTTGTATCCAGGATCTCATTCTTTCAGTCATGATCCAAACCTCATGACCTTAGGTGAAAGTTGGAACGTCGACAGACCAATAAATTGAGAACTTTGCCTTTTGACTCAGCTCTCCCGTCACCACGACAGACCGAATCAACGCCCTCATTATTGAGGATGAAGCCCAGTTCGTTGATCCATCTCTCATTCATTCTACCATCACTTGTGAACAAGACACCCAGATACTTGAAGTCCTCCATCTGAAGCAAACACTCTTCCTTGATCTGGAGGGGGCATTCCACCTGTTTCCAGTCGGGAACCATGGCCTCAGACTTTGAGGAGCTGACTCATCCCAGCCACGTCACACTCGGCTGCGAACTGCCCCAGTGCACGCTCAAGGTTATGGCCTGAAGATGCCAACAGAGCCACATCATCTGCTTAAAGCAGAGAGGAGACCCTGAGGTTCCCAAAGCAGACACCCTCCTCTCCACGACTGAGCCTTGAGATCCAGTCCATGAGCACCTCAATCAGGATCAGAGACCAGGGACAAAATGAAATCAAAGTAGCATGAGAAGACAAAAAAGCCTGTACGCTGAAGCAAATTTTAAAAAGAACTTTATTTTTGAAGGAAATGGACAGATCCTAATGTATTTTATGATTAAATTCTTGTAAATAAAGTTAAAGTATAAAAGTTATGAAAACCAAAAGCCAGCAATGTCCTTCATTGAGTCAAACATTGGATTATATGCATGGATTAAATAGAGCAGAAGTATTAAGATGTAGTTAGATTGCAAAACATAGAAAAGGAAAACAAATTTAGATAACTGAATATTTAGAGCCCATGTGGTCTTTGTTTTGGTGCAGGTGTTGATCGAGACACTGGCAGCGTTGGGCGCTCAGTGTCGATGGGCCGCCTGTAACATCTTCTCCACTCAGAACGCTGTGGCTGCCGCTCTGGCTGAAGGAGGTACGGCTTTAGACCAACACCCTCATCTGATTTTAAAATGTATTCTTGTCTTTTATTGCTCTGATTGTTGTCGTGCCTCGCTCTCCCTCAGGAATCTCAGTGTTTGCGTGGAAAGGAGAATCAGAGGACGACTTCTGGTGGTGCATTGACCGATGCGTTGCCGCTGACTCTTGGCAGCCCGACTTGGTGGGTTGATCAAACTCAACTTGATGTGTACCAGAACTTCTCTGGACGTGTAAATCAAACAAGAGCACATTCAAATCAAATGAGCTCTTCATTGGTAATGCTGGGCAACGTGTGGTGGATTTTTATTCGCCACATTTTCCCCTTTAGCTACAGAAACAAGCACCAAGATCAAATCTGTCCCGTCTTCTCAACACTTGTCTGTGCTGAAAAATGAGCCAGAAGATGAACAACGTGTCCCAGATTGAACCCATACATGTCCTCTGGCAAATGTTGTTCACACATGTCCTGCTCATCATGTGACCCCTCATGAATACCTGTAAACAGATTAGGTCCATGTGATTCTGGAACACAGATTAAAGGGGACACGTGGTAGATGTTTAACATTTTCTGCAACTTTTCTCTCAATGGAGCTGAAGTTTTCTGACCAGATCTGAGCGTTGTGGGTACAATTCTTTAAAACCATCAGTGGCAGTATTATTAGTATTGTCAATAATTTTGTGTTTGGATGCATGACTTGTCTTGAACATTGTGAATCATAAGTCACATGGTGTGGTTGTATGACTCCTTGCCATTGTTTTTTTAAACAACTTATGTTTTAAAGTTTTGGATGTATTGAGATTTGCTTTTAAAACCCTTACTAGAATAGGAAAATGTATCTTTTTTCATCAAACTGTAACTACGCGTTAGTAGAACTTCCAATTTGTGCTTTGACTACAACAATCTTACCATCTAGCTGCAGATATGAGTCATAAAAAGTCAACGTGACGTCCTGTTAAGTGATCTAAAAAGTACTGCGTACTGTTGTGTGTTTGTCTAAAGTCGGCGACAGCCACGCGACACTTGTCTGAAACGTTCCTGAGCCACTATTTTCACTGAAAACTGTGAGAACCGTGGCATAAAATACCCCTTTGGTATATTTAGCTGTGTGTTTACATACACACAGTAAATTCAGATGATTCATGGGGACATCAACGTCACCAGATTTGTGTTTATTACAACAGAGGACATTATAAAGACAAGGAAACTAGCGTTCCTTATGAAATGCACATCACCCTCTGACTTTAAGTGCCAAATTTTCAAATAAATATCTCACTCTATCTGTTAGTGCTCAGATTATGTGTTGGGGACTAATCTCAGCTACTGCCACACCACTTTGTTTTTAGCTTAATATCTATAAAACTAACAGTTATGCTAATTTTGTGTTCGCTAAGATTGATTTGATGTGGCGGCCAACTTGAATCAAACAGCTGTAAATCTAAAATGACTTTCTGTGAGTTTCATTTTCCTCTGTTCATTGGTTCATGAGTAGTTTTGCTAACAGACAGACAAACAAACACTTACACGAGGGCATTATCGCCCACTGTTCATGGAAACGGGGGATCAAAAACTGCAAAAGTCCAACATCAATTTCTGTAGAAATTACACAGATTAAAGATGAAGCCTTCTGGATCGAAGGCGAAACGTTTCAGCACAAAAAAAGAAACTGTCCAGATGACCTGACTGAAAAATGTTGGATACACACATTTATGTTTATTTAAACTTCCCAGTAAATGGATGTAGTGAGTTGACCTCCATGTCTGTGCATTGATACTGATGATGATGTTGCTTCATCGTTCATGAAGATCTGAGTGTCATTTCTTTTCTTTTCTTAGATTCTGGATGATGGCGGTGATTTGACGCACTGGATCTATAAGAAGTATCCAAATCTGTTCAAGAAAATCAGAGGCATCGTGGAGGAAAGTGTGACGGGCATCTATAGGTTAGTTTGTCCAAAAGCTCAAATAATATTTGTCGCCCGCCACTGAGGGTGTAAAGGTGATAATGGTTTTGCCCATGTTTGTGAATGTGTTTATCATTCTGAAGAACCAGAGGATGGATTTTAATGAAATATTCAATAAATAGTAATTGGAAATACATCCCCAACGAATAACCTCCCAATTCAAGTTCAAGTTGTGTTTATTTGTCATATGCAAAGTTAACACAAAGTTAACACAAAGTTAACACAAAGTTAACACAAAGTTAACACAAAGTTAACACAAGGTTAACACAAGGTTAACAAATGAAATGCTTAGAATGAGAAGAACTGATTTGACTCGCTACAAAATCAAAGAACAAACAAATAAGAAATACTAAAGCATGCAATTCATGATGCAAGATGGCAGCCACAGATAATCGACGTTAACAAACACAAAAATAGCTGCAACTCAATCATCTTTCCAAATGTTGAGCTGAAATTAGATGTGGCAGCGGAGTCATCCTCAACTCGTACTAGTGAGCAACATCCAAGACAAGTAGCGGAGTTGTGAGGCCATGTTGTTCTAGAAAAACACGTTAATCACTCATTTTCAGAATGAATGCCATTTTTCAAGATGGCCGACAAACAGGTTATATTTTTAATGTCCTTGGCATTTCAATTTCTTGAAATGTATCTTGCATAAATTTGTAATGGCTGCCTTTTTTTTTTTAAAGATGGACGACAAGTTAGCTGTTTTTTGCAATGGTGTTACAGTGTTAGGAACACCATATAAAAATAAGTTGCGTTTATGACAAACGCATGAAAAGAAAATATGTTTTTTTATATATTATCAAAGTTCATGCTCAGTAATCCAGGTCCAAAATCCAACAAATTTACGTCAGCTCCTTCGGATGGAGCCTTAAAGACGAAACGTTTCAACAAAAATAAATCGTCCACAGGACCTGACTTAACTTTGTTAAATGCATCAAATGTTTTACATTTGCTGTAATTGCACAGTGTCCTGACTGAATACATTGAACTGAATTTAAATGAACATATTTTTAAAAAGAGTAATGTCTAAGGAAGGGCTGTGCAAAGTTTTATGCTTGTATCCAGATTTGAAAGGTTTTTCTGAATTGGGTCACTCATCTGTTCCACTGTACTGTTGACAGTGAACACATCTTGTGTGATCTACCATAGCATGAAACTCTGGCATGTAAGCTGCCACGCGACATACGTTACTTCACTGAAGTCCTTCTTCAGCTCCAACATGTCTGCATATGTTTGTTTTAGGTTGTACCAGATGTCGAAGGCCAACAAACTGTGTGTTCCTGCCATGAACGTCAACGACTCGGTGACCAAGCAGAAATTTGACAACCTTTACTGCTGCAAGGAGTCCATCCTGGACGGGTAACTGCTCGTGTTTCGATCATAAACAAACATGAATGACTTGCACAACCGACAGTCCCCTGACCGGATTCAACTCTTCCAGGTTGAAGAGAACGACTGACATCATGTTTGGAGGAAAACAAGTCGTGGTGTGTGGTTATGGTGAGGTCAGTGTAAGGAAAGCGTGAACTACACATTCCTAACATACTTGTTGTGTTCTTGCTGTTTAGCCTCGTCTCTCCCTCCCGGCAGGTTGGTAAAGGCTGCTGTGCTGCTCTGAAAGGACTGGGCGCCGTCATTTACGTTACAGAAGTGGATCCCATCTGCGCCCTGCAGGCCTGGTATGAAAAAAAAAAGACGCTTTCATCAGCAAAGCTGAGAAATGTGCTGCACCCTTATAAGACCTTACGTCCCTTTAAGGCACACGTGTCAAACTCAAGGCCCGGGGGCCAAATGTGGCCCTCGTTGACATCTTATCTGGCCCCCAAGATGATATTTTAAATGTAAAATACTTTTATCCTTTGCATTTTTTCAGTAGTCTTTGATTATGATGTTTAAAGTGCAACAGAGAACGTCAAATGAGGCCAAACAAACTCTTGCTGAGGAACTTGCAACCAAGAAAAGATGTTCTAGATGTTCATATTGTCCAGTTTTAATACTGGGCTTAAGACTTTCCTTTGTGATAAATCCCCTAATTAGGGTTGGCCTTAAGCGACTACTAGAGGACAAATTGACCTCATTTCCTTAAATGAATTGTTAAAATTAAATAGTTTTCATTTGATACTATTTCTATCTTAACATGTGATTCTTGACCTGCCATTGTGTATCTGTTCTTACCAAACCCAGCCGGTTGAAGCAGATGGCCGTTTCTCCTGAGCCTGGTTCTGCTAAAGGTTTCTTCCTCATGAGGGAGTTTTTCCTTTCCACTGTCGCCTTCATGCTTGCTCAAGATGAGAGTCTGTGATGGAGTTAAACTCAAATCAGTCTGCTCCTCAGATAAATAATGTTAAATTATTAATTTTATATATGAATGTTTCTGTTCAGTGCCCTGAGATGACTTCTGTTGTGACTTGGCGCTAAATAAATAAACTGAATTGAATTTCTAACTTGAGTTAATGTAAATTCTGAAACTGGCCCTTATTTTGAAAAAGGTTTTAATTTTGGCCCCCTTTTGTAAGTGAGTTTAACACCCCTGCTTAAACTTTTTATCTTATCCCATAAAATATCATGAGCTCTTGCAAGATGTGTTACCACTGAAGGGGATGGGGAAGACTCGCTGCTACTACCACAAAACTCAAAATATGAAAAACTCACCAAGTTATAGCAAAGTTTGTGTTGGCTAACGTCCATTAGTTGTGGTGACCATCCTGAATTGAGATGACTCCAAAAGTTAATCAGCTATTGAAGTACATCCAGTGATTCCTTTGAGATTTTTGTTACGATTCATCCATTTGTCCATGAGATATTTTTCTAACAGACAGGTAGAGTTGATGGCAACGGTTATTGTGAATGCTTTAGGTTAAAATGTTGCACAATGTGGGGTGCTTAAAGTGTGTGTTATGGATGACTTCCATCTATCACCACACTGAATGTTAGCTCAGTAACTGTAAAATTTGTTGAAACATAACTACCAGGGTCAGAGGCTGTGGCGGCCATCTTGATTTGGATTGACTCTAAAAGTTAGATGGACATCCAATGACTACTAGCTGAAAGTTTCATTCATACTTGTCCACATGTTCATGAGGGGTTTTGCTAACTGTACAGAAAACGCACACTTCTACAGCTGGTAATACCACAGACACGTTGAATTTTAACCTGCTCTCTTTTGCTCTCAGCATGAACGGCCTCAGAGTTGTTGCTCTGCATGAAATAATCAGACACGCCGACATCATCATCTCCTGCACAGGTACCACGGCTGTCCTCAGATCAGTTTATTCACATTAAGAACAAATCCTGCTAATAAGGACTCTGCTGTGATGTTTCTCTGCAGGCAACAAGAGCGTGATAACACGGGAACACTTTGAGCGGATGAAAAACGGATGCATAGTTTGCAACATGGGCCACTCAAGCACGGAGATCGATTCGGTATGTATGCTTTAGTTTGTGAGAATATCTATCTGTTAATTATATATTAGTGCTTATTATAGTATACTATTAGCGCTTAGCGTATTCTTAGTTTAGCGTGTATATCTTAGCTCATATCTTAGTACTGTTTTTATTTTACATTTTATACTTTTGTTGGATGTAACTGAGACCC